CGTGCACTTCAATGCGGAACACTCGGGTATCCAATGACTGAAAACTATGGAAAAGTGCCAGAGAATAGCGAAGTTTAGAATACGATTAAACACAAAAACTGCAATGCGCAGAGGGGCAATGAGTGAAGTGAATAGTGAAGCGTCACTCTCATTGCTCCTGCGCGGATCACATTTTTTCAGAAAATTTTGTTGTATAGTCATGTTTTAGGCTATTTACGTTCTTCGTTGTTGTTTTACGAGAAAGTGTGAGAAAAATACCAGTTTCGATCATTTTGTGGGGTCTAAACATTTAGTGGAAGCCGCCGTCGGTCGATTGGAAGAAGTGAGGCCTGGTTCACACTTACAGCTAATGCGCTGCCGCCGAAGCGGAATAGGCCGCGGCAATGCACAGGGGACGCTACGCCCGGCGGCCGAATTCTTGCAGATTCGCCCGCCGATGCGCAAGTGTGAACCAGGCCTGAGGGTACCCTTTCGGTGCTGATTTGCATATTTCGGTGAATGTTCAAAAGCGCAGCCCCTATTAGCGGCGAGATATTTTGGTGACGCCCTCGCATACGGTTTCCTCTCGTGACGTCATTACCTTACGGACAACAAGTTCGACGGTGTTTATAATTAACATGGTGGAAGCTATTCCGCTCTGAAACCAACACTACCAACACCGTCAAAATTGAAGTTCTTTCATTACCCTTATTTCTGTCGATGAGAAAACCTTTGCTGACGTCATAGTCACCATTCGGCCAATCGTAGAAGGCTGACCACAGCGACGCTTTTGATCGCACATGTCGCCATCTTTCTGCCCTTGCAAAAACAAGTGTGATCGCGCAGGCACGCGCAACCAAAGCACTACCGAAGCCAGCGAGCACGCGTTGAAGGCGGAGCGTCTGGTCTCAGCTTGGAACGGAGTAGCAAGCGCCCCTGGGACGTTGAAGCACTCAGGTGCTTCAACGTCCCAGTATTCGGAGTCTAGAAAACAAACGTTCCGATTCAGCGCTGCTAACGAGCATGGTGGCCAGGATTGGCAGCAGGCGGGTTACATCAGGATACAAAGCCTCTAGGCAAATGCAAGTTGCCTGTACCGCCGAGACGCGCTACGCGGTGCGGTCCCTCCACATCTGTGTCAAAACCAGTACTTCCCCAGGAAGTGCATTTAACAAAACGAATGCTCCGCACAGGCCGCCGATTTGATCGAAGTCGAGGCTTGCGACATAGAGACCGACGTTGTTGGCCACAACATCGCTCTCGCCTAGGGCAGACGATGCTGCCTGACGTGAATGTGCCGACTCTAGCTGTTGGAGACGGTGATGACACGCTTAAAGTTGTAGGTCAATAATCATTCTTAAAAAACAAAAAGAAAAAAAAAAAAAAGAACGTCAAGAACGGCTTGGCTTTTGAACTCATTTTTGAAAAAGTTCCACGACTCACGTGCTGAACGCAAGCATGTAAACATTACCCACTTCGGCGATTAAAGAAGTCAACTAGATACGCTTTCAAACCAAGTGATTATGAGCATTACAAATATGCTTCAACAGTGCATATGCTGTCGCTTTTCTCTGTTGCTTCTTTTCTTCTTTTTTTTAACGATGGGGATGTTTGTGTGTGTGTGTTTTTTGCATTTTTGTGCCATATTGAAGCTAAATAAGCGCAGGCGAGTGAACCCTAAAAAAAAAAAAAAAAAGACGGAGCAAAAAAAGAAAAGAAAAAAAAAAAAAAAAAACGCTTAGCTGTTTGTCATTTTGTCGTCCGGTTTTCTCCGCATTGTAGGGTTTGTAAAGTCAAATCATTGCTATTTTGGAATTTTGTTGGGCTGCCCTGAGATTGTCGTCGAGTCCTTGACACTCAAAGGGTAGGGGAACTTTAGTTAAGCCGCCTGCATTCCCCGAAGCGAGGCCAGCGTCTTTCGAGGTCAGGATTTCGCGGCTTTTATGACGTCGGGAGCTAAGCCATTCGCACCTGCGAGCCTGAAGAAAGGCTTCGGTTACAAACGTGGCCGAGTTTGGAGAGGACTGTTCGAAGAGCCGGAGCCCGAGATGTGTTTTTCACGCAGTCCACGGACAGCCTCGTCTTTTTCGTTTTGCTTCGGTATGTTGTGGGCATGCACCGCCCCTCGCCGTAGTGGATTGTCGAAACGAAACACACACACAAAAAATACTGACATTGGAAAAGCGGAAGGGGTAAAGGGGGACAACCATGAAACTTCGGCGGTGTTCTGACCCTTCAACACCCAACACCCCGTCCCCTGGCTACGCCGCTGGTGTGCAAATATGTTCGTGTTTTCCAAATAAAATTGAGCTGCCGGTAGCCGCTCTGAGTTTGCACTACTACTTCTTTCAGTTAGGTTGTTTGTTTTTTCTGGCGCTTCTAAGTATACGTTTGTTGCAGCTGACGTCACTTCCGGTTAAACTGTAGGTCAAAACCAGCATTGTCGTCTACTATCAGTGCCTTGTCACCATGTTGGAGGCAAAAATGTTCTCCTGACACGAAGTGCAGTCCATAAACCCCTAGTTAGGGTACGAAGCTTTTCTATCAAGATCATAAGTCTACATAATAATCTAAAGCGAAAGTCCCATGCGTTTGGCCGCGACAAGAGGGCGATGCATAGACGCGGACATCGGCGGCCTCATTTGGTGGTCCCTATAAGCTCGTATCGCTGGCGACGCATATGCACAAAGGAGCAGCAAAAAACCACCTTAAATTCTGCACTTTTTTTTTAATTAGCAGAAAAAACATTTGAATTGCGCGTTGACAAAATTAAGTAAAGGTAGGCTGTATCAACTCACTTATTAAAATATCCTTGCCCATCTCCCCCCCCCCCCCCCCAAAAAAAAAAAAAAAAAAGAAGCGGCTAGGGAAAAAAAAAAACCTTCCCCGGAAAAAGAAAAACACAACAACAAAAATCTGCGCCGAGCAGCGTCGAAAATGCGCCGACCCCATAGCGGCGCCATCTGTTGACAGCCCGTGATATCGCGAGGAGAAACTAACTCTAGCTACAGTTACTCTAGAGTTCGAGTGAGGGTTAAGGGAGAGTATCATCGAAAGAAGCGGTCGCGAAAGAGTAACTTGGATGAAGATAGGGTTAAAGGAGGGTAACTTAGGGCAGTTACTCTCCCTTGACACCTTTTTTTTTTAGAGTGTGCGGATGTCAAAAAGGTGCAGTTTCTCTACAAACGAGAACTCGGCTTCAGAGGAAACGAAGCGATAATACTTCGAATAGTAGAGCGTTTACAGAAACTGACAACTACCGGGCGCACTACAACTAACAAAGAATGCGGGGCCAAGATGTCTTTGCTAGCCACATAAAAGAACACCGACTGCGAGGGAGGGCCCTTTGTCACGCATATAATATTTTACCCTCACGTGCCGCCACTTTCATGCGCAAGAAGGTGCATTTTGCTGTTGGTTTTCGTCCAAGTTCCTACAGGAGTAGCTTAGCAATTACGAGTGTGGTAACTATCCTGCCAATGTTAAGTAGCATTTTGCTTGTGCAGCAGCACAGCACTCATAGCACGTGGTTGCTGAGGTGTCCCCCGCGCCCATAGAACACGACGCGTCGAAGTTTAATAGCCACTTGGCGGATCGATACACAGGTTCACTTATATCGATAAAATGCATGTCGGGAAGAGAAATCGCTTTCGGCTACTCTCGGTGTGCTCAAAACTCAAATGTGATGATTCCTGACTACTAATATTGCCGTGGTCGTACCAAAAATTAGTAAAAAAATGGTAGGACTAACTTGCGCATAAATGTACATTTATATCGTCACGAATTGTTATATCTGGTCTGTAGGTGTAAACTGGTTGAAAATATCGGCCGGGCGTCATTCCGCGCGGCGCCGGTAGATGCACGCGAAGCTCATGCAAAGCTGGCAGTTTCTGACAAATTCGGCAAGCACTAACTTCACGGCTAGACGCTCTGCCTAGCTTTCTATTGTACTATTACGACACAGCTGGCGCCACTCACTTTTTATGGTTTCACTAGCACAGAAAGAGTACCCCTACAACTACAATTTTAAGAAATATGGTCATTTGAGGCGTGAACAAAATCGGCCAAATTTTCCATAGACCAAACAATTCCGAAGTAAACTGCGAAATAGCGCAGGTGTGTTTTGCCATACGAGCAGTGTAGCATCGTACCAAATTGAAGAGAACTTTATGAAGCACGAGCATAAGCAGATATATTTTAATGAAATCGACTTCGTACGTGAGGACTCTTGGTTATGATCGCAAACAAGCACGGCTGCCGATTGGCTGATACTTTGTACGTGACCCCAGTTGAGTGCTTGAACGAAAACACATGTATACATGCTGTCACCAGTACGTAGACAAAGGTGAAAATAGCGTAAAACAAAGAACTGGCGAGAACACCGCATCACACGCGGCGGAACGGCGAGCATAAATTCCTGGATGATAATGCAACTAAATGCAAAGGTGCATGCGAGCTGGACAAGAGTGATGAAAATAATCCCTGGAGAAGGGGAACAAGAGGGACAAAGGACAAACACAAATCTCCAAACACTGCTAGGTGACTGGTGCGCGATCGAAACATTAGCTGTGTTCGGAGATTTGTGTTTGTCCTTTGTTCCTCCTGTTCCCCTTCTCCAGGAAGTATTTTCGTCATTCTTGTCCAGCTCGCATGCACCTTTCCATTCCATTGCATTATATTAGTAACCTTAAATTGCAAGCTTTCACCCTTTGTGGTGTTAGACTAGTGGAAGCTGATAAAACCCGTTTGCTCTACTGACGTCTAACCCCTGATAGAGCGCTCCACTGGAAATGGAGGGGTCCCGGGTTCGATACCCGGACCAGGCGGTTTTTTTCTCTCGCGCACCAGTCACCTACAGCTGTGTGGAGAGATTTGTGCTTGTCCTCTATCCCTCTTGTTCCCTTTCTCCAGCGATTATTTTCGTCATAAATACCTCGCATGCTTCGGTGCGCGCGCCTCGTCCACAGTATTAGGACGTCATATACATGCAAAATTTTTTGGTATTTTCAGCTGATGAACTAATGCTATTTGTTTACATTCCAGAACGGCCGCAATACAAGTCCATGGGAAGGAAACTGTCTATGGCAGATTATTATGCACTGCAGGCGGGTAAGTGGTTGAATACCATATACTTCGCTTAAAGGCCGGCCCGCAAGCAGAGAGAAGGAACCCGGCTCTCACTTTCCTTCTCGCCACTGTGAAAGGAGGAAATCGCCTCTCGTTTCCTCCTCGCCATTTTCAAATTTTTTTTGTTTTGTTTGCTAACTGCCTGTTTGTTTTTTTGTTTGTTTTTGTTAACAAGTTTGGGGTGGAGGAAATGAAAGCTTCAAGGATTTGAAAAGATTATCCAGAAGCCATCCGGCACACCTGCGACAAGGAGCTGGACCAACCGAGTAGCTGTTTTGAGCGAGCTTGGCACTTGTTCTTCCCAACGAGTTGCATTGGCTCTTTTTAGGCGTTGGTTTGGAAGACGATTCTTTGCTGTTGTGAGAGCACAAATGCCTTGTTCTGCTCAAAGAAGTAGTCATTGAAGTATCAATTTTAATATAAATATCTGATTTGGCATCTTTCGTTGTTTAGGCGGATTCATGGCGACAACGGGAAGTACGAGCGGCGTTTTCTGTATATCAGGGATGGCGCTTTATAGACCAGTGGTTCTGAATCATCATGGTTCGTAACCCGGCAGAGGTGACGGAGGGTCCCATCCGTAGTGGGTCTAGTACATTTCGGTGTAGAGCGTTTTGCTGTAGGGCATTTCGGTGCGGACTTTTTGGTGCACAGACATTTCAGTGTACGGACTTTTTGCTGCAAAGACTCTTCGGTGCGGGACTTTTCGGTGCGCGGATATTTCGGTGCACGGACATTTTGATGCATGGACATTCGACGCTATGGTTTGCTCGCCGGTATCTCTTTTCCAACGTACGTAGACACGCTTCACATCGTGTTTGTGCGTTGAGTTGATAGAGATAGTCTCCTCTATAAGATTTTGGCTTTATTATTGGTTCTGCGTGTAGGAAACGACCCAAACAGCAAGACGTTTGAAGTTGTTTGTGTATTCAGAACAATGTCGAATATCTTCAAATGCGCCTCCTCGCGCGTAATCGCAAAGCTCCGATTGTTAATAATAAATTGTGATGACCTCGCACGACAAAAAAAAAAAACAATGTAATTATCACTTGTAACTCATTAGGGAATAAAGTATGCGTGTGCGGGTACAAAATAAGTGTAATCAAATCAAATATCGATTTGAATCAAGTAAACAAGCCGAATCTGGTGAATGCTAAATCTATTTTATTTGGTATCAAATGTTTGCTCATTCTCGTACGAAAAAAAAAGGCATTGACCACAGATCATACACAGAGTGTGATCTGTGGTCAACGTCTCCTTCCATGCCGTAATGATGTCGCCGGACGTAAAGAACTGCCTTACAATCGTGCTTATACAGGGCGGTTTCCTTTTTTAACGACTAGACATTTTTCTAAAAAAGACGTCAGAGTTACGCAATTGCGGTTTGTGCCTTATCTGTAGTCTTCAAAAACACCAAATCATTCATTTTTAAAGAGATGTAGTGGGCGTGAAGTGGCTCACGGCGTCCTAAAAAACCTAATTTGGACGCGAATCGTGTTACCGCAATCTTTTCGGCCACCGCACTCCTCGCCCCTTCTACAGTGGCGTTGTCACAGCGATGCGCATGATTTGTCGCTTTGGCTTCATGGCGTTAGGCTGTGCCACGCGGAGATGGAGCCCACATAAAAGCAAAACTATATTTTCGCGCCCAAATTAGGAGGACGCCGTACGCGCGTTACATCCCTTTAAGAATAGACGGTTTGGTGACTTGCGACTACGGCCAACAACTGCCTAAATACAAGATGCCGTATTCTTTTCTAATTAAAAGGTTAATTAGCGAATTTGGGGCAATCGGTCGGTTTTAGTTGCGTTCGTTATTGAACCTAATCCTCGCCGGGCCGTATAGCTCACCTGCACAAACCGCAATGGCGCTAATTTTCACTGAAAAATTTGGTGGCTTTCGATTACGCCCAACAACTTTATAAATCAACTATCCCGTTTTCTTTTATTATCAAAACGTTCATTAACAAATTTTAGGTAATCAGTCGGTTTTTGTTGCGTTCTTTCTTGAACCCAATCTTCGCCTGGCGTATAGCTCACATCCACAAAACGTTAATTTCCACGTCTTTTCTAATATCTAGTAGGTGAAAAAACAAACAAACAAAAAAAAAAAAATAAACGTTGTATATAAAACAGAGGGCAGTTCTTTTCTGATATAAATAAAGCGTGTGGCACGCGTCTTGCATGCATCTCTTTTTTTTTTCGGCCTATGAAAACAAATCCCGGGACATTCGAAATTGAGTTTATTATGTGGCGGGCGCTTTATCACGAGGTATTTTGTGATGTTTCATAAGCTTTATTACTAGTCGGAAGGAAGCCACGCGAGCCGTATCACGTTACAAACAGCTAATCGGGTGTTTCAAATTTCAACACTCGTCGCGGGCAGCATGAAAGGAAGCACTGCACTCTTGGAGCATCACCACCCGACTTGTTTGAAAAATAAATAATTTCCAGTACTTTTGGTAGAAAAGGCGAATTTTCTACTGAGCGTGATATTTTGTGGACCGAAAAGTGCTGTAGCCGAGATCGGTAGTTCATAGCCTCAGGAAGACGAAGAACGACGGATGCATTATTTCCCGCGGAAGTACTGTTTTGAATTTTAATTCCACATAAAATTGTATATGCACAAATTGTGGCACGATACCGAACTTGCTTGATTACTTTTCTTTTAAAGACAACATAACCAGGCATAATATACAGATATTGCTGAATTCATTTTAATTGGCGTACAGCGCGAAAGACAAGTATGGACATAAAGAACACAATAGAGCTCTGCATTTCTACTGCATTTTTTTCCGTACTTGTGGACAGTTAGTCCGCATGACTATATTCAAAAACTGCCAAATCGTTTAAGCCTACCCCTTTTTATAGTTTTTTTCGTAGATGAATTGTGGCGAATCATCGGCTGGGTTCGGGTAAAGATCTCGCACGTGTCCAAGGACACAATTCGGCATGATTTCCCGCTTGGTGACGACGTTGAGCTGACCGCTGTTCCGCTTCTTTTCTAAGTAGGCGGAGAACGCCAGACGCCTAAATTAGTCAAGCAGCCCCAAAACTTGTGGTAGCACACCTTCCGAACTCCTGGGTTTTTTTGGAGATGGCCTTCGCCCACCCTGACAGAGCCCCAAACAATTATGTAAGGGCTTCAGAGGCTATCTGGGCATTCCATTTCTTCATCAGCGAACAAATGCGAACAGAAGAGAATGAAAACTTCGTAATACCTGCTGTCTTTTAATAAATGGGATAATACGCTACTATTGCTAGTTGCACTATTTTACGCGAAGAAAATTGTGATTTTGCGGTTCAATCTCCGTGTATCCCGTTCTCTTTGCTGATACGCAAGATATTTGTCGGGTGTCAAGTTTTCAGTTACATTTGTTGACAGAAACTAAATGTACGTTTGGCCACGAAGAAATTTTTTTCAAAGGCTAAAGATAGATGAAATATACCATAAACCGTTTCAGTTTTTATGGAAGTTTGTTTTTACTCTTCTTAGTAGCTTCAACGAGGCGGCCGTCACTCTAGAAAACACCTGTAGTACGAACCTATATATTATGCCCCAGAAATGGTCAGACTGTGTCCCTCTGACTGCAATATCTTTGACTTGTAATTACTCATTATTATTAGTTTGTACAAAAAACAAAACAAAAACACAATAGTGATACAATCACTCTTCAGTGTGCCGTTGTTAGAACGACAAATTTTCAACTCTCTGGGTAGAGCTCGAAGTTCAGATAAAAATACCCATATTTTTTCCTTCTGCTATGATGTTCAAGTTCTGTCCACTCGAGATAAATATGCGGTGTTGTAGCGTGTGTGGCCGCATGCGGAAGTATCTGAATGTAAAAGAACTTGTTGTTGGGCTAGTTGTTGTTCACTATTTGAGTGTTTCTTAGAACTGCAGAAAAAGAGCAAAAAAAAAAAGAAGAAAAGCGAGCCAGCCCGAACCCTTCCGAGCTCATATCCAGCCTGCCTAACTAATACCTGGTGTTTGGGATTGAAGCTGAGAACCTTGAAGGGTTACGGAGTATTTGTCGGGGGGCCGGTAAGCCCATTAGCACTCGTGCGAGAAGGCCGTAAAAAGCGAGGAGGAAAATGGAGGAGGAAAGGGGAGGAGGAAAAAAAGAAAAGAGAGGGAATCTTCTGCCACGTTGAAGAAAATTTTGAGCGCCCGCCTTTAAAGGCGGGCGCTCAAAATTTTCTTCAACGTGGCAGAAGATTCCCCCTCTTTTCTTTTTTTCCTCCTCCCCTTTCCTCCTCCATTTTCCTCCTCGCTTTTTACGGCCTTCTCGCACGAGTGCTAATGGGCTTACCGGCCCCCCGACAAAATCTCCGTAACCCTTCAAGGTGTTTTGCTTCAATCCCAAACACCAGGTATTAGTTAGGCAGGCTGGATATGAGCTCGGAAGGGTTCGGTCTGGCTCGCTTTTCTTCTTTTTTTTGCTTTTTTTCTGCAGTTCTAAAAAACACTCAGATAGTCAACAGCAACTAGCCCAACAACAAGTTCTTTTACGTTCAGATACTTCCGCATGCGGCCACACACGCTACAACACCGCATACTTATCTCGAGTGAACGGAACTTGAACATTTCATTTCATTTATTAACCATTTTGAAGTGGGGTGGCAGGGACAAAAGGTGCTTAATAGCACCTGACCAAGGTCCCGAGCCCCATACAGGTTTCAGAGCGGCAACACAGATAAAAACAATAAAAAACAAAACAAAAAATACAACACAAAAAAACAAGGTTGTTTACACATTTGTATCCAATATATTATTCAAGCTTCAAAATATAATCCTTTATTCTTTTTTTGAACGTATCTATTGAATTTACTGCTTCAGCTATTTCCAGAATTTGAGGATGCATGTTTAGAAGTTGGGGAATTTGCTGTGTTAATGTTTGTTCACCATAGCTCGTACGTGTGTGACCTCTAGCATAATCCACACGTCTTAAATTGTAGTTAGTTTCTCTTAAGGGAAATTG